TTTTTTTTACAAACCTCCAACTAAAAGTGAAGTCTGATATTTGTAGTTATCTAAATGTAAAGAGGTGCAACATGTAATAGAATCAGAAGAAAGTGTGTCTATTATTTGGCATTGCAGCCAGTAAATCCCTCGTGGTGTACCATTTGTCAGAGCTTTGGACTCCGGCATTCCCCCGGAGGAGCTGGAGGAAGTGTCTGGAGAGAGGGAAGTCTGGGCATCTTTGCTTAGACTGCTGCCCCCGCGACCCGGTCCCGGATAAGCGGAGGAAAATGGATGGATGGATGGATGTTGCTCAATTCAGCTCCAACCCTCTCTCTCTCTGCTCTCCTCTCAGGCCTCACCCAGCTCTGTTGCTCATTAGCTGCTGGCCCCAGCTGTTCTCGTCCTCGGGCAATTCTCGTTTTCTCCCAGTGTGAGATCATAACTACAGTATGTTTTTCTCCATCCAGATCTGGTGCTGAGGGTGAGTAAAGGGTTAACATGCTGGTCTGCTCAGTAAGTGGAAGAACAGTGATGTCCATGGGATATGTGTTATCTTGCATTCAGAGGATGCCAAGTGGAAATTTCCTGTCAGTTAAGCTCACTGCAAGCTTATTGGCACCTCACTGAAACAACACTTTGTTCTTCCTGATTCAGGCTGAAGGAAAAAGCTCCTCTCTCGGGCAGAAACCTCAACAAGCAGTGAAACTGAACTCTTGCTCATTCTAACCCCTTGCAAGTGGTGAGAGAAAAGCAGAAGATATTTCAATCAGACTGTCATCTTCAGTCTTGTAACCAGCCATTCAGCCTGTTTCATTGGAGAAAAGTGCTCATTGTGCTGCTTGGTATCAATGCGTTCACCACACTGGCCGTGGACAGGAGAAAGAAAAGAAATGACTACTGAGCAGAGTCAAAGTAAGTTCCTCACATCTTTTTGAGAATTTTTTTCATGAGTCTGTTGACATCTTTGAGAAAAAAATGTGCTTACAATGTGCTGTGATACTACAATCTGCAGGTCTGAGGAGATCATATGACTTAAACCTGAATCTGTCTTCAGTCAAAATTTAGTTTACTCAGGTCTTGAAAGATTTAAAACTCTGGTGAATGAAGATTTTGTTCCACCTGTATCTCTACCTTCCAGGGATAATACATTGCAGTACAAACTGCCTCCTGAGGACGCTGAGCGCTCTGCTCTCCTCTCCTCTCCTCTCCTCTCCTCTCCTCTCCTCTCTCTCCCTATGCTTCTATATGCCACCATTACACATTACTAACTGCGTGTCTCCTCTCTCCTGTAGTGTGTCCTCTCTCTCTCTCTCCTTGTACCTTTCTTCAGGTTGCTGTGCACAATTTTTTCTCCAAGATGTCATCAACAGACTCAACAAGATAAAATTAAAGACCACCTTAACTGTTGTTTCATATCTAATAGGAATAAATATACAAACATCTATGGTAATTTAATAATTAAATAGCCTTCTTGATCTATGCACCAGACTTTATGGTGCCATCTCATCCACTGAATCGTAGGACCAATATTTCAGGAAGTGGTAGAACAGAAATCAGCTGAATTTTAAAGCTTTAAAATGTATCTAAATATTTGTTCATGTGCTTTCATTATAATCAGAATAAGACCATAACAAGGACACAGGAAATCCACTCCTTCTCCTCCCTTTACGACCACATGGCCGGACTGTAGTCTTGTAATTGTGTTGCAACCTATAAACTGAAGAACTGTGTCACATCTTGGTACATATAAAATATAAAATTTAAAAAAAAGTATCTTCCATCTGGAAAGTTGTGTCAATGTGCCAGTTGCCCTCTGTTAGCAATTAGCTTGCTCATTGTTCATATAGATAGCATCATTACTGCGACGAACACAACTGCAAAGCCTGAGCCT